AGTGGTGTGGTCTCCTTCCCTTGAGGGATTTTAAGAAAGGATAGATACAGTGCTTGGAGACATGGTATAGATGGACTTGGCAGTGATAGGTTGACGGTTGGACTCGATGATCTTAAGGGTCTTTTCCAGCCTTGACGATTCTATGATTCTATGATCTTTCCCTTAAGCCAGTCACTAGAAAAATTATTTTCATTGGTTTTTATCCCTCAAAAGCATAAAATATTTTTGATTGTTCTCTCAAGAAAATAAGGGCAGTAGACATGGTGTTAAAATGCAATGAATGAAGTCTAATCAGATCCTGAAAACACAGAGGTGTTTCTCAGGTAGGCTTAAGGATCCTGCCTGGGTCCCTCAGCTATGAGCCCTGGCTTCAGTGGAAGAATATACTCCCAGGAAAAGTGGCAACAAGAAATCTAAGCAGTCTGCGAGAGGAAAATACTTCATTAACAGTTGTCTTTGACTCTTCTAATTCCCTATGCCATTCTAGGTCAGCAAAATTTCAGCTCTACCACCATGGCCTTTTATTATCCAAAAAATCCCTCTGTTTCAACCAAGTAAAGATAACAGTGGCTAAATATATTCTGCAGGGAAGATGCATTCTTCATTATTTGTCACTTCATTGATATCTGAGTCAGGTAAAGGTTTAAAGAGAGAGAATGAAGTAGTCTTTCATTGTGCAAAGAAGATTTATGTACTCACAGAGCAATGAATTCCATCAGTACTATGGAGGTACTTTTATCTTGTTAGGATTAGTCGATTTAACTTGAGACATAATCTGAATTTAGAATATAATTAAATTTATAACAGAGTTTTGTCTCCTTTCTTTACAGGTTTGCTGGTCCTCTGATAGATTTCAGAATGCCGCTGGTAAAAAGAAACATAGACCCCAGGCACCTGTGCCACACAGCTCTGCCCCGAGGTATCAAGAATGAATTGGAATGTGTCACCAATATCTCCTTGGCAAATATAATCAGACAACTGAGTAGCCTAAGTAAGTACTTTGTCCTAATAGCTGCATTTAGAACTAATATATTTTACAGTCATAGTTTTTGTGGTTGAAGTAGGAACGCCTTTTCAAATTCTCTGAGCCTTGAATGCGCTCCTTTTGTGGCTAGTGACTAGCGTGGACTTCTGTGAAAGAAAGCTAGGAATTTTTCCAGCAGCATGTCTTAAAACTGTTCAGCCATATATTTCTGTTACCAGTGGAACATGACAGAAAAAGATATCTGGTAGTTAATGAAGTCAGTAATTGCTAACCGTAGAGCAATTCTTGACATAATAAGGAATATATCATTGTTGCTTAATTCTCTTAACTTAAACCCTTGGTCATGTTGTGGTCATTCAGAAAAAAAAAGTAGTTGCCTTTTAAAATAATAAACCCAGAAATGTAATTATCACATACTATTTCAAACAGCTAAAGATTTTTTTCCTTCTTCTCCCTTCTGTCAACAATTTTTCCCTTGGCACATTTGAGAGGAGTGAATACTTTTCAAGTTCTAGAACTCTGAAGGAGTTTTTCTGACAAGGCTGGTTTCTGGTTGTTTTTTTTTTTTTAATTACAGCAACTTTAAAAAGTTGTCAGATGAACCAGCATGATAGCATTTTGAATTTCCAATACTACAGGTGCTTTTTAACCACTAGGACATTAGTAAGACTACCAACACATTGAATATTAAAATGTGTGTGTGTATCCATCTAGCATGTGAAAAGCCTTTCAGCTCCATCAGTATCTTGGGTTCATAGGTGATTTTAACCTAACTTGTTAATTAGATTGATTTAGTTATTGGTTTGATGGTATACTGTATGGCAGCCTTTCAAAGCTGTTAGGGTGCTATTAGGTTGAAGACTCTAATTGAGGATACACTGCATTATGCAATCAAGACAGGAATGCTTACAGAACATAAATATGAACATAATTAGTATAGCTACTGCAACAGCAAGGAAAATAATTATTTAAATTCTTTTCAGTGAACCAAGAGCATATCAGATTAGGATGCAGTATATGATCAGCATCTGCGGTCTTGCTTCATTCTGCCAAAAGCCCTTCTCAGACTAGCCGCTCGTGTACTAGCCTCCCCTTCCAAGTCACTCTTATTAATATTGTATTCATTTATTTTAGTTTGCTTGTTTTAAAAATTCTTATTTGATTATATACTCCGTGTAGGGGAATTTCCTTTCGTAGGTGGCATACCAAATTTGCATTTTATATTTTCCTTTGGAAGTTTCATTTGACCTTAAAAAAAACCAAATAACTTGGTTTTTCAATTTCAGAGAACACCAACTTCTAACTCAACATCATGGTCTCAGTGCTTACCTATTAAGATTCAGCTGCCTTTGCTATGTTTTCTTGGTATAGAGAGCTTATGCTTGATATCGTGTATACAACTGTTCAGGAAGAGGTCAGGATGAAGCAATAACAGAACAGAAAGAACTCAAGGGAGAAAAAAAGTCTTGAAGAATATCCATTGAATGCTCCCACATTTGTTATATGGTTTGCCTAATGTATAGCACAGATAGAGAGACACTTTCAAGGGAATGTAACCGTAATTATGTAAACTCCTTTTCTGTAAAAGGAATGTGGTTCTATGTGAACCGCGCGTACATAGGGAGGAGCCCACAATGTTGGAAATGACAGGGAAGGTAAAAGAGGAGGGACTCTGCAACAGAGTCTAGTAAACTCTAGTTTACTCTGCAACAGCAAGCCCAGAATAGGTAATTCAAAATTTTTTGTAAGTTAAACACTGATGAGCCGGAGCTGTTACTTCAGTCTTTTGTTCTTCCCTCCAAATAGCATCACGGTGTTTGTAGGTTTTCTATGGGCAGTGTTTATACCAACTGAAGTAAGTTTTTGGTTTATACTGTGTATGTTTTCAACAAAAAAAACCATTTTTTCCTACAATTAAATAGAACATGTTTTGCAAAATAATCCTTGTTTGTCAGCAACATTAAGGATTGCTCTGTAAAAATGGAAATCATGTTCCAAAGGTATGAGTACCTGTGAAAGTATTTTGTTCCGGGATTCTTTTAGCTTTTCTGCCTCTTTGTGCTAGTAGCAATACAAATTCAAGAAGATTTGGGAGTCCTGGCGTAGGAATTTTGTCTCTCAACGTGCTCAAACCCAAATAACTGGTCTTCGCTTGGTGTGTCACCATTACTGGTATACAGCGAGGCCTGCTGACATGCAGATAAATTTTAGTAGTTGCCTGTGAGTCACAGCCAGCAGGCATGGTTTTGCAGCAATCCCCTGGCAACCAGCTTCTCTGCAGTCCTTCCCTTTTTGTTTTCTGTGGATAATGTGTATGTTTGAGAATCAGCCTTTAAGTTGTAGGCGAAATGGGGCTTCACTCTGAGAGTGGAGACCGAGTGTTCTGGTAGGGTTTCATTTCCTTTAAACTAAAGCTGCTTTTGCTTTTGATGGTAAAGTTATGCAAATTTAAATGAATGGTCTTTGACCTGATTAGCACTTAGTCATTTTTGCCTCTAAGATTTTTTCAGTTACCGGCCCTCAAACAGAGGATTAATCTCCTGTCATTATGACTCTCAAGACCAACCATTCTTTACCTTTCTTCTGATATGATATGGACAAAGAGCGCTGTGATGGAATTAGAGCCTCCAGTACTTTAAATGATACCAAAAAACATTATTTAGGAAAGCTAAGTGTAGAGTTTGTCATGTATGTTGTTAGATCTCCATTCTTGGAGATATTAATAACTTGACTGGATTAGTCAAGCAACTGGATCTAACTGGACTTCTGGAGGTCTTTTCAACCTGAACAGAACTGTGTTTCATGATCTTGGATACTATGTCTTAAGTAGGACATGCCTGCAGAAACAATACCTATTAAATGGCAGGAATTCTGGCTTCCTGTGTTTTAATACAAAACGAAAAGAGCTTTACATCAGTATGTCAGCAGTAGCTGCTATGTGTCTCCATACAAATTCTCAGTCCTTTCGTAGTTTATTTGATGTGTTGCTTCTAATTGTTCAGTTTGAGAAATTTTTTGACCTTTAAAAGAAGTAGAGATGAAAGGATGAAATATTTATTTCTGCTTTGAGTGAGAGTCCTTGCCTTTCTCCCTGGAGCATGAAAACACATCAGTCTGTCTTGATACAACATACAAAATTGCCAGTAAGTAATTTCTTTTCCCCTGTCTATTCCCAGTCTTCTCTAACTTCATAAAAGTATCTGTCTTCTGACAGCTTTTCTTAGTGCTGTGGCAACAGAAACTCTCTGGACAACAGCAACAGCTGTTTTAGTTTCCTAGCCATTCTCCCCTGTATTTCTTGCTTTCTGACTGTACCTGCTTTGGAGAAGTGCTTACCTATTTTTTTCAGCAATAGTGCAGATATATTAGTATTCCAGTACTGCCTGAATTGGTGTATCTTGGTGTACGTCAGGCTATATAGCATTCCAGCATACATGAAACACAACTGAGAGCACTGTGCAGCTGTGCCATTGTTAGAAGATGGATAAATAGTTCTCACGTCGGCTCCTCATTTTATTCACGGCTACTGACCAATCTTGGTTTTCCTTTTATTTGGCTATTCCCTGTACACAGAATCTCAGTACCGTATATAAAACCTAACTGATGGGGTTTGTTCTAGGCCCCAGTCTCTGACACCTCCATCTGGGAAGGAGAACATTTCTCCTTTTGAGTATGTTCCTTTAATGAATATTTATATTGCAGGCATTCAGACCAGGACTTTTATTCAATCATAGCAAGATGTCATTTCCCTTTTTTTCTTCTACCTCTGTATAAAGAAAGAGAATGCTGCATAACTCTGTTTGCTAAGCTGGAGTGCCTTTTATGTTAATGAAAATAATTTTCAATTAACATTGAACTTTCGGTAGCCTTTCCCCTCTTTCTGTCTTGTCTTTGTACTATTTCCTATTTTTACCATGTTCTCCTAATTAGTTATTTCTTTTCCTTATTTGTGAGTTTTCAGGAGTGAAACCCTGACTTTCGAGCATATTATTTCTCCCCCCTTTTTTTCCCTCTCAGATGCTTTTAATTTTTCTTCCTTATTTTTTGCTTACCATGCCATCCCCTGGAGGGTTTTAAACACTGCTCATCTTGTGAGAGACATTTTCTCACCTCAGGAAAACCTTCAGTTTGCCATGGCTTAAGGTGTTAGCATTCAGTAAGTGGGAAATGTTTCTCCAGAAATACTTACCAACAAGGTGTCTGGACTGCAACTAATCTTTAGAACCAGGCCTCTTCAGCTCAAAGACCAGCCTCTCTCTCTTCATCCTGTCTGGACAACATCTTCAACACATGGTGAGGGCCCCACGTGTTGCATGATCGGAGGTAGGTCTCAGTCAGTGTTTCAGAACCAGCACAATCCCTCCAGCAGGTCCTGCCCTGGGAATCCTCCTTCTCACTGTACTCACAAGCATATTCAGTATTCTCTGGGGATTTTCTTCCTTAGTCACCTCTCTTTCTTCGTTATTACTATAATTGCCAGGGAACACTAGAGAAAGTGTTCCTATGCACATGGGGTAAGGGAACTGATGAAAGCTAAAGGCTGACTCAGCTTTTCAGAGACCCCCATCCTCTCAAAGACTTCTGTCTAATTTCTTGATGTTGTCTCCCCACAGTGGCAGTATTGGCAATGTGATGCTGTTTCATGTCCACTTCGAATGATAACGGGGGGTGAGCAAATGGTCAGTAATTTCTCACTGAAAACAACTGTGTTAGCAGAAAAAAGTCCTACTTGTCGTTAATTCCTTGCCTACATAGAGCAGTGAATTCAGGTGATATTAAAAAAGGAAAGGAAGAGCAAGACTTCCCTTTGAAATGATCTTTAGGACTGGTGCCTTCAACATCAGGTTCAGCTTTCAGCAGTCTCACAGATTTCTGAATACCTAATGGATAATCTCAGCCAGCTTACTTGATGGTGTCTTCAGTGGGAGACAAGAAATGGTATCTCGGACCTCCATGACTGGAGATTTTTGAAGGCTGACTTTTTCTTCTTGGATGTCAACAAGAAG